ATGCGCTCCAAGGAACCATAACTGATTTAATGAGCCATCCGCAGTTTCGCTTGGTAAACATGGTAAAGCTTTTACTTAGACATGCATGGCTTAAATTTTCAACAAAGATTTGAATGTACCGGTTGTCTTCTATGGATCTCCTGTAGGCCTAGGCTACATGTATGTTCTCTTCCATTTTAATCCTTTCTCTTGAGCCACTGGGCCTTCTTTTGTGAATCCATTTCCAAACAAGCTTGACTTTTAAAGACAGAAATAAAAAATGAACGTCTCTCCTTTTCATAAGCCTTCATACTGCATGAGTGATTTTGCACAATGGTAGAAAGGCATTATGGGAAGGCAGGAGGAGCAACCATTGCCCCCTTTTCCTTCCCACAATGCCTTTCTACCATTGTGCAAAATCACCCATCGTAGTCAAAAATCACGGTAGGCCTATAGGCTAATAATATTGGCGTAATTCCAGAAATTAGGGGTCCAAAAGCTTGACATTTTTGTGTCCCTGTTACATCTGACCTTTGTTATTTGACATGGAAATATCACCGGAAGTGATTTCAAGCTATTACTACACGTATTTGTTTGGCAGGCAATTTTTATGAATTCATCTGTCTTGGAAATTAGAAAATGAGTTCCGAAATTACAAAATCACGTCAGATGTGACAGGGACACCAAAAAAATGGCCCCCTAATTTCTGGAATTACATGTACAGTAGTATAACCCATTGGTGATTTTTTTTCAGCATACACTTCACTCTTTACAGCATCGAGGAGTTCAATACATTTAGGCCTAGGGCTCGGCTAGTCCGAGTATTGTAACTTAGACCCTACAAATCCCCTTTTTAAAACATTTGGACATGGTCAGGTGATAGTAGGGTCCAAGTACTGTACATGTACTTTCCATACCCTTTTACTTAACTAGTACTAATTCATTTCACTCAAAAAAGCACCTAACCCAAATCCAAATCCTCCGAATTCACCTCCAGAATGATCCATAGGTGTCTAATGCACCCAGCTACATGTATGGACCGAGTGAGAATCGAAGATTCCAATAATGATGGTAAGGTTTACTCAAATTTTGGGAAGAAAAGAGAAATTTCCCCTTCAAATCAGAAACAGTTTTGTCGTTGAGCTCAATGTCGCCATCTTGTTCAAATCATGTTCATATAGCGATTTAAACTGTATATTAATGTCCTGGAGACGTTGACGTCAGTAGCTGTGACCACTTTGAAACTGTACACCAGACACTGCGGTGCTCAGGAATCAGTCATCGGTACCCATGTGCCGACACAGCATGCTTGTTATGAATGGTCTGCTAGAGGCCAGCACACTATGATGTCATTTCCAGGACATTAACATGCCATTTAAACACTGTCAAATCACTACATGCATTTGAACAAGATGGTGACATCACTAAACAATAAGACAATTTCTGATTTGAAGGGGAAATTTCTCTTTTCTTCCCAAATGTGAGTAAACCTTATCATCATTATATAATTAGAATCTCTGATTCTCATTTCATCCCAAGTCGGACGCATTAGACATTTAAAGACCATTTTGAAGGTAAATTCAAAGGATTCTGATTCAAGGTACGAGCTACACAGTACATGTATTTTGAGTGAAATGAATTAATGGAAGTAAAAGGTCACTTTTTAAATTTCCAAAAATAGGGTCAGCGCAATAAAGAGAGTGTTGCCTTTCTTTTTTGGGGGGGGAGCAGGACTTACCAGGTTTGCAAGATTCAAATGTCAAAAAACTGGGGTTCCCTATACCATTCCCCTCAGACCATGGAGGAACGGTGTGTTCCTTCCTCCATGCTCAGACTAAATCTAAACCAATCAAACGGGTCCTTCCTCCATGTTAAAACTAAGTGGGGCGAAGTGGTTAGGGAGGAGGGGGTGTAACGTCCCTGTATGGAACTCCCTCCCTAATGACGATGTATCTATTATGAACTCAAAACCAAAAAATATAGCTTTATTACCTCCTCTCAGCTCAGAAACTAAACATAGGCCTGCGTGTATTTCAGCATAAATACTACATGTAGGTTTGGGTTCTCCCGCATGTCTCGCGTTTGCTGATGCGCGGGATAGGGTGCTAGCGTTTGCACGATTTTGCTGTTCAGGCACGTATGACCCTTATTCTTTACAGGCTCGTTCAACTAACTCTTTGCTTTATTTTTTAATGTTCTCTTTCTAGGATTTTTGTTACGTCAATACTCAACACTAATTTCAATATACTCGAATATTGACATTTTTAGCTTCGAAAACCAAGAACAATGGTAAATCTTGTAAAATATTCAATATTCTATCAATATCGCACAGATCAATCAATTATTGGTTGCTATGAAACGGCAGTAAATATCAACAAAAGCAGTGCGTGCAGTGGGAAAACGAATTTAGGACAAGGGTTGGATTGAACAAACAGAACCAAACGGCCAATCCATCAAGCTTATGAAAGAATACATAAGCTTTGAGAATGAAAGGGGGAGTTGAGAAAGAACAAATACAATGACTTTGATTTTATTTATTGTAAAAAATAATGTGGTCACCCATTTTTTTGTTCCAGTAACTTTAAATGACTTTCTACTGGAATTTTCAAGAATAAAGACTCGAGTACTCCCAGTGAAGTGGTGGCGATCGACATGGTGGCAGAAAATGATTGACCAAACTGACTGACCAAAATGCCCAACACTCGTTTTAATTTTTTTTTTGTTAAATATATACGGCAGACCTAATTGATTCATCAGGAGTTACTGTCATTTACACTGTTTCATCCGGTTTCATCATCTTATTGCATTTTCTTCTGATACAAATGCACCCCAAAATTCTATGGATAATGTACAGGATAATTTACATGTATAATGGTTTATGGACACAAAGTTGTCCTTCAAATGATTAAAGTTTCTTTTTCATCCTTTGGATGCTTATTCTTGCATGGATTCCTATCTGTAATCCCATGGAACACTCAGGTTCTTGGAGTAGAAACGATAGACACCTCTGTAATGAAAATGGAACAATCCTATTACCAGCATACTCAACGATAACAAAAGACTCGTCCATGCTGCAAGGAAGGTTACGTAGACTTAGTAACCAACAGGCTCATGCCGTCTGTGTGGGGGCATTGGGGTGCAAACTATGCACCCATTACCCGCCACTTGCGCTCCGGTGCAGTGTAAACGTCATGAAGAAATATACTTGATAAATGCCTCAGAATATTGTTTGATCACTGTCAACTGCTGCATGGACGCGGGTAATAAACGACAGCATTCTATGGTAGATGACACTAATTGCAACCATTGATCTGACAAATTCTACAGGCCGGCGCATGTGGGTTGTTTGTTGCTATTTCATGGAAATGACTCTGGCAGGCAAGGCAGGATTGTCTCAGCATACAGGACAAAGTATTTGAAACATAAGGTTGAACGTTACGTTTGTGGCTGCCACGTACTATAGACTATGTTGCTAATTTTGCTTATCAGCCCTTCTAACAAGTGGCATCACGTAGTTCGGCTCACTCATGTGTCCAGCGTACATAGGAAAGAACAAGAAATCGAACTCATTGAAAATGAGACATTTCTGAACTGACAATGCCCACTCAGTTTATAGTGGTCACAGTGAGTGCTGCCAGCCGAAAAAAACATCAACGGGGTAAGTCATATCTGAGATACCGACTGATATCTTCGAATTTATTGGCTGTTTCAAATATTGACCATTATTCAGCTCATGAACACCCAAGGTGAGCATGAGCGCTGAATAAATGATGACAAGTTTGCCCTCCGTTACAAGAACAAGAGAATGCTACATTAACCACAAAGTATCGTACATCAACCCTTCCCAACCGTCCCATCTACTTGTATCCCTGCATGCTTTGTTGCAGAATTGATAATATGCCTCAAATTCGGTACTTTCACCGTGGTCGTTACTTCAGGCCGTCAAAGCCACTACATTTTCTTCCTCCACTAAAATTAACCACTGGGGTTACTCGTCAACCATTACCATCGGAGGAGAGAGCTTGTCAAAAGCCGAGGGGGCTTGCTGGAGGCAGAAAACATTCAAGATACAGAAAGATGGTGATGGCATTATCAAGCAACTTAACTCTGGGAAATGTTGCAGACATGAAGTTCTTATGCCGAGGTAGGACCACTGGTAGTTTAATCAAAAGTCCAGCCGACATTTGTGTAATATCCATTATATTTTTTTTCAGTGAAAGCAGAGAGGCTTAGGGGTCAGTACTCATGGAGGGAGGCTAACATTAGTGTTGTAGTTCAGAACAGCTTGAGACCAACAATACCGAGTCTCCATAGCTGAGACCTTGAAACCACATACAAAGACAATATAAAATTGATCTTGAGACATGTCTCGAGACGTACATTACTTATTGTGTACACCATGTGCATAAGGGAAGACAGAATATCAAATATGTACACGAGTGTTTACAGCTACCAGGGCAGCAAAAAACTGTTATAAACAACTGTTCATTTTTGTTTTCGTCCATAAATAAAATCCTTATCCACCAACCTCACCAAAAAGGTTGTAGTTCATGTTCGTGCTTTCAATTCCTAACAGAATGCACACATTATGTTAAAGCAATAATTTTCTTGTAATAAATTATCACGAGATCAGTAAAGGCTTATACTAGACGTTTGTATACAAGAAAAACAGTCATGACAGTGCGGCAGCAAGTTCCACACTACACAAGAAAACGTATGTGAAGAAAATATGGAATTTATCGGAAGGGGGCTGCGGTGGGTGCTACGAAGTCGGCATTTCGTTCATATAATAGGCCTAGGTAAAAGGATGGTCACGGATCATATTCAGCTTCAGTTTCATCATGTTTCTCGATCAAACCATCAACCGGAATACGAAGCACCAGGGTTATAGTCTACGATTTCAATATTAATCCATTCAACAAAGCTCCCGTCTGTGTGTGTTATTTGCAAAAGAAAACAGATTACAACACTCCAGATTGAACTAATAAAATAAAAAGAGACACGGAGATGGAAAAAGGATAAATTTACATCAAAACTGAACTGTGATTTGACAGTAGAATGTGCTGTCCCAAAACAGCAACTTCTGTAATGCCAATTAACAATAGAATCTACTGCTGTTGAACAGACTTTTTGAACAGTGTAGATTCGAAGAATACTTATGTGTTGGAGAGAGGGACAACCGTTGGCTTTTCGTATTTCCCACAATGTTCCAAAGAGTTCACTGTAGTCTTTATTCTCTTACCCAAACCAGATCACGTTCGGCCACCGCAGATTGTAGACGACGTTACCAGTGCAAGACATCTCTTCGCCTTACTTGAGAACCAGCGACTGTTGGCAGAGAATAGTCTCTATTTTCTGCAGACACTACTCTATTACATTGCCAGACCTGACCTATACCAACTTGTCTTAGAATTCAGGGCAGACAGACAACACGACTATAAAGGAAAAGGGGTGGACATCAAGAACCAGTATCAAGGTAAAACATTCGTAAAAAAAGAAGACCTCGTTTTCCAGTGTGTATATTCATGAATGTATATTGAAGCCTGCTGAATTTAATTAAGACCAAACGGCTTTGTCAACATTTTAGTACTGGTGCCCCCAGGATTTTTCCTGGTGGAGGCGGGAAGCACTCATCAGCAGTAACATTTCTTTTGCCTTTTCCTGAATTTTCCCTTTGCAGTTTTCAAGCGCCCCACTCCTTGCCCCTCCCCCCGCAACGCCCATGTCGACAGTGTGTGTTCTGTCTATAATCATTCATGCCTCCACAGCAGTAGGCCTACATGTAATTGCACTTGCATCCCCTGATCTTTCATACAAGCCTACGACATGATATTGTATTGCTGTAGCTTAAATCTGTATGTACCACTCAATCAAATTTCGATCGATATTGTAAGAAGGTTTTCGAACTTGAAATGTTTAAAAAGGCTAAAGGTAAGGCATAATATACATGTTGATGTCCTTTTTTGTGCAGTTAATCTGGATGAGGATGTCAAGCGACTGGAACTCGCCAACGAACTTTTAAAGTTCCGTGAGGATCTCAAGCCGCGGAGACGCCTCAATCAAGTGGATGTGAATGAGATGAGACGAAAGCTGAATGAACTAAGTGCCAAGATGAAAGAAAATATCAAAATCATGCAGCGCCCAAACGCGCCCCAGCGAATCTGTCACGACGATGATGTTTATAATGGTAACATCGACTCTGTAAATGGACACACAGCGAGACAAGATGAGGATACTAAAAAAGACCACAAAAACGCATCAACCGAAGGGAATACTCACATTAAACACATTCTTAAGTTAAATTCTGTGAAGTCCGACAAAAGGTCAAATATCATTCCCAAAATGGGAAAATCCTTCAGAACAGAACTTAACACCAACCAAATTAAAGGTCCTGTGATTCAAAAGAAACATAAGTCAGACATGGGTGAGGTCCGTGGAAAAAGCAGGCACGAATCAACGATTAGTTCAACCAAAGAAAGTGAAGATGATAACTACTACTTGTACTCCGACAACGAACAGGAAAACTCCAATGACAATTTTGGATACGAGACTCCTTGTCCACCTCCAAGAGAAAGTGCACTTGGTATTAATGGCATCAAAGGATGTGATAACATTAGCAGTAATCCCATCATCAAATCTAGTCTTGTAACAGCTCATAAAAGCTCGAACCTTGTCCAAGTGGCAAGTAAAATTCACACATTGCGGCACCAGCCTAAAGAACAAAGCAACAACTCAGTGGGCAGGGTGAAAAGAAAGAAAACGAAAATGAAAATTTCTAGAACTGGCAAATCCAGGCTTAAAATAGCACAAGATGAATTTGAAACTTCAAATGATAAAGACGACATCAAGTTGCCAGACATTTATGACAAGTATGCAAGACAAACGGCTGTTCATTATGATAGCTCACATTAAACAAAAAATGCACTGAAACTTATCTTCAAGTGAGATACACTGTACACGCGCTCATGCGAATGTATGAGGATTATTCGTCAGTCCCGTTTTTATAATGTTACCAATGGTGTAAAGTACATTTAATCGCATTTTTCTATTTCTTAATTTATATTCTTTCAACCAGTAAATAACATTTCAGTACATAAAAGGTCCTGGAAGGATGCATCTTTCGATTCCGTACTAACAGCGCATCTTTCTTACTTTCACACAAACTGCCTATAAAAGAGGTCGTTAATTACGCAGCATTCATTACGCAACTCCACAAATGACGTTTAAACCAGCAGCCTCTTAAGTAGTCCCAGTGACCTTGTTTGACCTCTTGGAAACCGTATGAGCAATAAATGTATAAATGCGACCAACAAGTAATACGAATAAAAACCCATTTCAAATGATTTTTTGTATTATAACCTATTTAATGTGCTGTTGGTTTGGGCAATGATGTATTGACCTGAAGACCAGTTTATACTTCAGGCGAATATGAAAGCGAAACAGTTTGGATGGCCCGAATATACCCAGCAAGATATGGGATGGAGGGGTGCCCCCCTACATGTCTTATCCCTATACATAGTACAGACTGTTGTTACCTAACTACTATTCCGAAATTTGTATCCTTGTGGAGACATGGCTTTGTTCTCCAGTACTAATTTGGTCGCGTGTGAAACAACGTTTTCAAAATGCTCCAATTTCAACATGAATCACTCTCCTAGGCTGAGGTTTTTGACCGAATGTCCCTTATGTGAAACACTTTAATTTGCACAATTGTTACACATTAAAAATTTGTCCTTTTTGAGCGATTTACAAATTTAGTTTCGTGAAATCCTTGTGGAGACCTAGACACCTTTAGATACTGTGCGTGGAGACCTATTTAACCCATTCTCCTGAGTCTCCACAAGTCACCATATTCCAAAACACAACCCCCTTATGTCTAAAAACTATTCATTTCAAACAATGACCAACACAAAGGTGGGGCTGCTCTCCACCCCAGTCTTGCTTCAAATGGTCTCAAAAGGTTTGCAGTGAAGTTTGCTTAAATTAAAGTATGTTCAACTTTTGTAAGTTGCAACACGAACACTTTGATCTGGCGTCACCAAATTGTACCTGTATGTGCTCGCTTTGGGCCAAATATGAACTTTCGTTTACAAACATAAAGATGACAGCAGGATCTGATAGTGCATAAGCGTGAACAGTCCAAGTATATGTAGCGGGCATAATATGAAAATTATGACACCTGCTTACATTATTTATTTGTTTACTAGTTTACGCCATTTTATTGTCAGCCAACCAGTGGAGATNGATTTAAAATAAGAGGCAAAGGTAAAGGATAGAGGGTTATTACAGAATTAGCATATGCTAGAATTAATGTTCCTTAAACAGATACGGTTTTCTCAATCGCTTTGACTTGACAAAGAAGTACGAATTTTACGATAATCAGAAGCGAGATCGCATCGTTCACTACTGTTTGCCTTTGTGTTCGCACGAAATAAGTACATTATTAAATTCTTGCATGTCATTAATCGTTAGCGTTAAAAATTTAACATGGTTTTCGAATGAATGTTTTTATCTCAACTGTACGTTATGGTTAAATTGCAACCATTTTCCGTAGATTTTTCCAGGTTGGGAAAAAAACGACAAAGCAGTATAACTCTTTGTCAGTTTCTGGTTGATTTTTTTAAATTTCCATGCACAGGCCCTAAACATAGATGTACACTCAAACTTACACACTCAAATGAACTATCGTTTCAAAAGCACACAAAAACAAATACATGTACCTGTAATTGCATGTCTAGGTTTGTTAATTTAAAACTCAGAAACGGTGGAAGGGAGTCTCTTCCCCAGTTCTGATTCTTTACCTTCAATTATAGCAAAAATCATTCCTAAGACAACCTAATCTGAAATTGAACATTAAAGTTACACGTTTTCACGCGGAAGAAAATATATGGACCAAAAAGAGAAGATGGCAACGTATCGCAGGACAGGAGCCCCTGAAGGTATGGAGTGATATGTACGCGTGAATGCACATCAGAATGTAATCTTTTCCATTTAATCATTGTATAGGGTGTCCCAGAAAAAAAACCAAACCCTGAGGAAAGGGGTTAATATGTCCAAACTATGAGATATGATTATACTGTATAAGGATCTCCGAAAAGTACAAGTAGTATTCATTAGCTCCATCTGCGCATATCCGCATCGAAAGCGAGGCTCTCTGTGTCGAGCGCACCCGCGGAGTCGACACATTACATGCAGTATCCGGTTCGTAAGTGTGGAGCCACTTCAGTTTAAACCACGCCCACTGCACAAGATACACGAGCATCGCAGGTACGTTAGCTCGCGGTAAATTGCCGTTATTTTTCTTTTGATTTTACGTGTTGAGTCATCCTGAAAGACTCTTCCATTAAAAGTTGATGCCTGGAAAGTCTTAATTTAACATACCTTTATGTAATTTGTGTCTTGACTCCTTACTTCCCATCGTCTGATCGTATTAAGAATTGAAGCTAACACATACAGCCTCGTTTTCAATCGCGGAAATGCGCAGATCGACGCTAAAAGCGTCGTATTGGGATCCCTCTATACCTTGATGGTATCCATCCTGTCATGCATGACTGAACATCATTGTCTTGAAAATGGGGCATCCGAGCATTTTGGACAAACCAGTGAATGAGGTTGTCCTCTGTCATGCTTGTCCTGGATAAGAGGGGCACACCCATTATTTACACATTACGTAATTCACAGTTAATTATGCACCGACACCTTCAGCGTGTCCAAGTCCATTACTCCTGCAACTGGTTCCCCTTGGCTGTTCGACAAGTTGCTGTCGAACTGCAGCAACGTCGTCAGGAGTTCGCACTGTGCGCCTCCTTCCCGAATGACCCTTATTCAAATTAAGACTTGTCCCATGTTCTCGGTATTTGCGCACATTTTCCCAGATGGTCGACTTTGCCGGTGGATCCCTATCAGGGAAGGCTTCCGTAAATGCAGCTTGAGTGGCTTGAAAGCCCTTGTTTTCAAGAAATTTCGTCACGACAAACACTCTTTGCTCTTTGGTAAGTTGCACCATGTTGAAGACTTGCTGTCCTGCTTCGAACATTTATCACACTGCACTGGCCTACCTCGGGACAAGTCAACACATTTAAACCGGATTATTGCATAACTTGGAAGTGCATGACAAAAGGCAATCTTCCCTCATTAACATGACTTTTTGTTGTCACTTTCAACAAGGACAAGCATATCAAAATCAAAATCTTGCTACTGATCTTCGGTTTACAAAAGTGACATCTTAACCTGCTCTGAGCTATATAAACTGCTCTCCCAGGGAGAAGTCTATCGGATATACTTGAAAAACTGCGTACTCCATGTATTATCCTGCTAGTATTTTTCATGATCTATTTAATTAAACGTTTATACGCTCAAGGCGAGTATCATGGGGGAAAAACCGGCACCCGGGCCAGCCCATCTAAATCTAGAAACCAATGACTACAGGTACTTAAATCTTCGCAGTATTATACGTGTGCAATCCCCTTTTCACGTAAGTACATGTACATGAAGCAAAAGCAAACGTGCATGAACAGGGGGGCCTGGGAATGCTAATATAAATATTAAATTCGTTGATAAACTAAATTCGTTTTTACCAGTGCACGGGTTACCTTTCAACAACATAACTTGAAGAAAATAAAGAAAAATTCCAACAAGAGTGTTTCTTGGGGTGGTTTCAGTTAGAAATAGTTTTTCCAAACCTCCTGGAAGGTGGAAGAGTGGACCATTCCTTGTAAAATCCTCCTATGCGGGCCACGGAATGCTACACGGGTAGAGCTGATTGCTGCAAGCAGAGAGTTACGCCTAATTAGCCGTCTCAATAGTCGTGTGAAAGACTTTCCTGTAAACGGGATACCGTGCACGATATGGCCGATGGGTACCCCCGCCATGTCCAATCCCTATACAAACTCTAGACTATTGTTACCTAACACATCCCCAGAAGTCTGTAAAAAAATCCCTGAGATTCCGATCAAACAATGACCAACACCAAGTGTGGGGGGTTCTCTCCGCCCCATATCTTGCACGATATAGTAAACGGCCACGTATTTATTGCAGCCTTATCGCGCATGTGAATTTCTTAGAAAAAGCACTCAGCAGCAAACTGACAACCATTAGCATTAGCAACATTTCATTTTAAACCTGGGCTACTGAAAAGAAATTTGGGCTAGTAATAAGACAGGAAAGTTGCACGTTCTCAATTTTCAGTGCTTGCGTTTACTGAGACATATACATCTCTGGATAGCCAGCTACAATTTATATGGGCGGCCAAATTGCAGAAACCAACTTTTGGTTGGTTTTCGACTTTACCTCAAATTCGTTCAAAATTGACATTTGTCCCATTCATTTCAAACTGAATTGTATTTTCGGTAGCGTGAGATTTTTAACACTTGGTGAATTTCTTTTACCTTTGTATCGACGTCCAACTATAGTTTAAGCCACTTGTGTGAAAACACCGACCCTATACAGTATTTTGCGCAAAATGAGGCTTTGTAGACTTCGATCCACAGGTGATACTTTGCGGACTTTCTTATTTTGCCTATTTTATTGTACTTGGTGTTTTGTAATGACCCAATTAAGCTGACACTTTTAATTGGCCTGTGTGAGATTACGTGGCTATTTCCCCACTCTCCACGCCATTACCCAGGAGAGGTATCACATGAAGCTCATGTAGGGCCTAATGACAAATGAAGTTTGAACCTCGTGGATTTCTTCTTCCGAAAAAAAAAACCAAAGCACCTAAACAAAGTAGCAAACGACCGGAGGAAATTAATTATGCCACAAGGTAACAAACATTATATTGATTTAGAATGTTTGAAAAGTATAGCCACCTCGTTTCTTCCCTTTTAACTCTTGAGGTCGGAGAACAATATAGATTTGCTGAACAAACGCCTTCGTTTACTTTTAGGAAAGTTTATGTTCTAACCATTCAAAGCTTTGAAGTGTAGTGCGTGGGTACTTTAACGATTAATGTCTCTCTATTTATCCTACCATAATTGATCCACCCCTGAATGTCATACTTTATCCAGCCTTTCCGTTAACGCTAGCGCTCTTCCATAATCATCTCTCATTGCAAGTGGCGCCATCACCATTATCCCCAAAAAAGTATAATTAGAAAAGTGATTCCAGTATTTGTGATAATGATGTGTTTGTCTCTATGGTAACTGTAAGTCCAACATCCTGTTCTGTCGCTTCTGTCAAATATAGCTCTCTAGGGAGACACGCCACAAAGGTGACTTCTTCAGAACGGCATGCGGCATGAGTGTACGTCATTGTGGGAAATCTAAGGTTTCAAAGGCGCTCTCGAATTGTACTTAAACCACGACGCCATTCGCCGGAATCAGTGTCTTTTGAGAACAACTCGAATTAACAAAGACTAATTTGAGAGTCCTGGCTGTCAACTCTTCTACGTCAAAACACAGAGGCAAAATTGCTTTTACTGATAATTTGTATATGCCTTTTCACAGAGTTAACAATGTCTGAAAAATCCAACGCATTACTCAACAGACGAGGCAGTGAAACTACATTACGGCAGCACAGCGCTGATGACGCCCTGGAATTGGTAGGTTCAGTATTTCATTCCCTATACTGATAACGACAGTGTCGGCATCATAAAAAATGCTGACCGTTCGTCTTTAGGAGATTTTTAATGACACAAGTAAAGACATGACAATTCCTTCTGGATACATCATCGTGACATTAATGCTTTTCCGCCGAGAATATAAAAAACTGTTTCACAAACATTGATAATGTGGCGATTATCAAAGTTTATATTGGTGTGATAATTGCACTGACAGTAATGATGAGCATATGTCATAGCAATGACTGCAGTAATGACAATGATGCAAATGATACAGGATCCCATAAGAAGTCATCGCCTTCGACCGAGATGATAATTGTTATTTTTTATTTATTTTCACTTCAAGGCAAAACGCGAAACTGAATATCAGACCAAGCTGCGACGTTCCCGTCTCGTCCGCAAAATGTCCTTCGAGCTTCTAACCAGAAAACCACTAGTCTTCTCGCTCAAGAACAACATTGGTGCACTTGCTCGAGCTTTAAAGACATTTAAGGTATGAATTTAAAAATCCCCCGACCGTGACATCAGTGTTTTTGACCAAACTTCAAACAAGTAGGCCTACTAAAAAGATTATTTTATGTTAATTCAACGGGACGATGAGACCCAACAACGAAACATTAAACTAATATTCAGACTTTTCAATGACAAACCACGACACAAATTTAAAAATTCCTCGGGATTAGGGGTACCTTGCAAATTTAAGTAGGCTATTATGACTGAATTTTTATTTTGATGCTTTGTATTCAAAACCTTACTCATTCAAACAAATCTTCTTAGGAGAATGAGATTCAGGTACTACACATTGAATCACGGCGTTCACAGCGCCGTAAGTCGGAACTAGAGGTATATGTGGATTGTGAAGGCGAACGGGGACTATTCACGGAACTTGTGAAGCAACTTCAGAGACAAATGAGCTATGTGCAAGAACCACTAGATCACATCAAGCAGGAGGAAAGCATAGGTAAGGGCTGCATCCCCACATCTGTTCACACTCGCCGCAAAAAAGGACTAAAACAAAAACAAAAACCGAAGAACTGAAATGCTGTTTTAAAATACTTTCACGGATTCAAAAGACAGTTCTTTGCAATCAATGTTGGGACGCCCAATCAATGGGTTAAGCGTGCAGAAATACTTGTCTCCCTGATGGCGAAGAGCATTGAAAGTAGACAGCAAGCGACCTGTCAGGCATGTCAACTTGATTCAGTTATTAATTCACTGATCTCTCAATTTTAGAATACGCAGGCAATGTTGATGACAGCCCCTGGTTCCCCCGAAAAATAAGCGATTTGAACCGTTCAGCATGCCGTGTGTTGACGTACGGTGCGGACCTCGATGCAGATCATCCGGTAAGAAATTGAAAAGTACAAACCTGCAAAGAAAGCAGCGTCTTTTAAACTTTTGTCAAAAACCGATTAACACCGACTTTCTGAAATCGTGTGTCCATTCAAAACCGTCTTAGGACAGAAATTCTGAGCCATCATTTAGCATGAGAGCCTAATTCTAATGAATATCACATAAGTACTGATTTATATATTATGGTTTGGTAGTGAGCGAAAGTGTTTTTGAACGAGCGACGAAAGTCTGTAGTATGTGTGGAGGACAATCTACCACTGTCTCCAATCGATAGGAGAAATCATTGTTCGTGGTAAAAGCCTTTGCCTATTGGGCCCTAAATTGAATAACGAATCCCAAAATAATGGAATTTCCCAAAACGACCTAACCTTTTTCTCCAAACACATTCCACAGACGTAACCAAATTTTAAACAGTTATAAGTGACAAACTACAAGCAATCCTATGATTCTTTTAACCTAGGAGAGCCATTCTGTTTGAAAATTATTTTGATGGCTTGATCCGGCCACTGGTCTTTGGAATGTTGCATGTCATCAAACGGGCAAAACACGTGTAAAACGCTGATGTACGTCATTAATTAACATGGTGATGAGTTTCTCACATTTTCGTGCGAAAGAGAGATTAGCTTCCTGATTGCTGGGACCAAGAGCTTTTCTCTTTAATTGGCCTGATTTACGTCACATACTTCTTTTATATGCAAATTGCAACGGCCTGGTACATAACTCTTTTCAATCATCTGATTGTGTGGAAACGTACGCTTTTCTTCGTCTCTTTAAAGCGATGTTCATCGGGAACCAAGTTAATTAATGAAAGAAAAAATCGAACCCATTTGTTTTCAGTTTTGGATGATATGATACATGTTTCTGAACGACAAAATGCCTTTCCTGTCTAATTTACTCGCATGGCAAACAATTGTGGTTATATACCCCGCTTTTTAGGTGTATATTTTTCACTAATTGTCACATTTTGCCAAACCAACGCTGTTGTTTTAAAACCCACATACATACGAGCGCAGAATCTAATGAGTATCCCTACTTTTACGTACCATTTACAACAATTTTGAAAAATATTTTTGCTGTACGAGTTACACTATGACCCACTTAAAAGGCCATTGTTAACATTCTCCACGTGATGTATAATGGCGGTTAATGGATCATTAACGCATTTCCATTATGGCATCCACAAAACAAAAATCGCTTCTGACCTCATAACCACGCTTGTGAAGAGCCGAAGCATTATGTAACGCGGCGAAGCATTCTTAAATACATCACCAGAACGCTCAGGTAATGAACCAAAACCGAAACCACTCATGATTGCTACCACCGAGAAAATAAGTTTGGTTGTTTTCCCTTTGTGCGAAATAAGCGACTATTGAAATTAAGAAGTCCAAAACAAGCAAACGATTTGAAACTTAATAATTTGCATGTAAATGAAAAAAAGGTTTTCTTGCAAAGTTCAAACTTAAGAAAATAGTTACATTATTCAGGGTGCCCGCCACATGCCTAACGAATACAAAATAATTCATAGACCCATAGACCTGCCATTTCAGATATCATTTATTCTTAAATTTGTACCAGGGATTTAAAGATAGCCTGTACCGAAAACGACGAAAAGTATTCGCCGATATCGCCTATCAGTATCGACAGTAAGTACTCAACACATATTTTATGATTCTTAAACTGTCATAAAGGACACTTTTACAGATAACTTTTCTGACATACTAGATTTGAATATTTGCCATCTTGTTCACCATCTTTTTCACCATCTTTTTCACCATTAAGTGGTCAGCCAATCCCTCGCGTAAAGTACACTGAAGAGGAAACAAAAACATGGTAGGAAAATTACGATGTCGTTTGAGGTTTTTATGTTTTTGATTATACTTCAACAAGTTTCAAGAAGGTTTTACAGGATTTTTAAATTTAATTTCTGTTTAAAAAGCAAATACTTATGTTGTGGATTTCTATCTCCCTTTTTATGACCACTTTTCCACTATCAGACTGTATCTCAAATGAATGTCCTATGTGTTTCTTATCCGAGAAATTAATTCCCGTATCTTCATGTATAACGCAAATTTGAAAGTAACGTTGAGACAAAATAAATAACGTCAACAGAAACTTTTTGTTAACTATAAGTTATATTTTTCAAGAGATCTTATGGATTATTAATCAATGCTCATCGACAGAAAGCTCAGGAGTAAGTATATGTGCCACTTCAAGAAAGCAACATGACATTTTTCATTTCTCCGACAACACTTTGCCCTTTTTCCTAGGGGACGCGTATTTTCTGAGTTGACGAGTCTCTATCCGTTGTACGCATGCAAGGAATACTGCGAGAACTTACAGATTCTACGTGATAATTTTGGCTACAGGTAAACTAGAATTCGGTAAATTGGAGTACAATATTAAGTGGTTTTGCTTTGGTTCGATTATCTTCCATCTAACGGTTTTTCGTATTTTTGAGTTAAAACTGTTTTTTTTTTTCTACCAGACAATTTATTTGTTTTCTCTCAGAATAAATAACGCTATTTTTAAAAATTCCTTTTCAGGGAGGACAACATACCTCAACTTGAAGATGTTTCTGTCTTCTTAAGAGGTGATAGTCTGAGCTATACTTATCAAATTAGACTTTTTCAACTGATTTTCGTATGATCGCGAATCGTAATCTGACTGATAAAAAAAACAATGATATTGAAGAATCAATGTCGGTCATTTCAACGGCAGCAGCTTTGAGGCAAAAAGAAAAACCAGAAAGTTCCTACTTAAGATTTGATTATTATTTTATTTGTCCAGAACGCACGGGTTTTCAAATCAGGCCAGTGGCTGGTTATTTATCATCGCGTGACTTTTTGGCTGGACTGGCGTTTCGTGTGTTCCACTGCACGCAATACATACGTCATGCCTCAAATCCATTCTACACACCGGAACCGTAAGTTATCAACTCATGTGTTTTAGCAGAAGTTGTAAAAAGAGCCAAATATTAATTTTAAAAATTACGAAATTAGGAACCTACTGTGTTTTTGCCTGTAAAACCCCTTTAATGATCCGATTTCCTTTCACACGTAGCGATTGTTGCCACGAGTTATTTGGTCACGTGCCGATGCTTGCTGACAAAAGCTTTGCACAGTTTTCACAAGTAAGTTATTCAACAAAAAAAGTTCGTTTGGTTCGAATTTCATTTTTGTGAAAGGCGTCTAGTTTTTCCTGCAGGGATATGCCGAAAAACCAATGAACAATAATCATATGTACAACAAAATCACAACCCACGCCAAAAAAAACAAACGCCCTGCCAATGAAAAGCAATAATGGGCATGGGAAATGAGGTTAAAGTATAGCTGCAATGAATTTTCCTTGGACACAAATCTTCTCAGTGCAACTTTGTGCTCTCCTTTAATGTGTGAAATTCTTTTGCACCAACATACGTTTTGAAATAGTGAAACAAAGTCGAAACTACGATTGCCTGATACACAAAGGTGCATTTCGAATGTTTGTAAACAAATTGATTGCAGTTACCCTTTAGGTCACTTATTGTTTTCATTTTGAAATTGGAATAAAGGATCCACTAAATTATTTTTCATAGAATAAAAACCTCCATTGTGTTCTTTTCAACATAATTTAGTGCATTTACCATTCGTCCCCAGGAAATTGGCTTGGCATCACTTGGGGCTTCCGACGAGGACATTAACAAATTGGCATCGGTAGGCACCAATCCAAAGTCCACCAATATCACACCTTTGCAGTTATCAGTACCATAACTGGTTTTTTTTTATCAATTTGTCAATTAAATGACAATTTAGTCTCGAAAGTCAGACAAAAATGGTAAAACCCACCTAATAACGACCACCAGATAAATCAACCAAACCGTGCAAGAAACCAATACATGTATTACTTAAATATATGACCATGATAGAATTGTTTTTATAATTTTTATCATAGTGCTACTTCTTCACGATTGAGTTCGGTCTGTGTAAACAGCAAGGAAAACTCAAAGTTTATGGTGCTGGCTTGCTCTCATCAAGTGGAGAACTTCAGGTAACACCATCCATTCTTTTGATAAATATTCTTTTGTGTAATGGACCTTTGTTGATGAATGCTGCATTTAGACTACCTACCACTGGAGAGACCGTAAACAATTATCACCCATACCAACAAACTATTAGTCGGCTCGCATGCAACACGATATATCCATTTCATCAGAAGGCTCATGTGTTGTCACCCTATTTAGAAAAATGTCGATTATCTAAAGTGAACTGTACGTTCTTTGGAAAAACTGATTTGATAGACACAGACATCGCACTTGTGACTTTGAATTTTTCCAACGTTTGCAAAACAAGAAGCACTCTCAACGATTAAGTATACCGTTTTACACGTTTTACAGGTGGCTCTATGCCCCAATCTTCGATATACCGCGCTAATATTTTCACTTTTATGTTCGGCGGCGATTACAGATTTTCATTCAAAGTGAAAAACTCCTTTCAATTCACTTCAGTGGGGGATGTACCTTGTTCATTTGTATACATATTCCTACATTTTATTCTTAATATTTGCATTTAACCAGTCAACTGTCGGTTTAATCTCAGTTTAATTCTTAGTAAACAATGTTTTAACATTACTGTTCGTGTATAACCGTGAACAGATTAATCATGCGGAACTTACCTATCAATGCTTCCAGATGGTATTTCAAATGCATGAATTTTCCAAACAAAATAATTTCCTACTGTGACCGAGGAAATGTAAGGAGTAAAAATCTAATTCCTAGGTTGCAAACGCGGTCTTCATTTGAAGAGATAGTGAAATGCGTGGTTCCAAATTTAGCCGCTCGCCAAACTTGCTTGTTGGTGGTGTATAAAGTCTCCAACTCAATACACTCATATTCCACAGCTAACTTACTCCTTCCATTTGGACTTGAGAGGTACAGTGAATGACGGTGCTGACAGCTTGTCTCTGAGTGTGACTTAATATGCAAGTCCTGTATGTGAATAGAAAACAAAATAGATGTACACCCAGCCAAAGAGTTACGCAATGGCTTGGGCCAGGAGTAAACCTTCTATGTACATGTACATGCAGATGTACATGGCTAGCCAACTCTGGGCAATTGATCGAATCAACTCAAGGCTCAAACTTTTTGTTCTCTTGCACACGGGAGGGATGTGGTTTAAGTCAGAGAAAGACTCACAGGTGGAAATTGTTTGATTCGAATGGGCTCAACGCTCCTTGTCCTTGCCAACTGGAAACAATTAAATTCCGCGTTTCCATCCTTTCTTCCAAACTTAACTAATAATTATTCCTTTTGTTGACAATCACAGCATGCAATGTCCAGAAAAGCAAAGACCCTTCCTTTCTCTCCTGTAGCGGCGACCAAGCAGGAATGTCGCATCACTACATACCAAGATGCCTACTTTGTCTCTGAGAGCTTTGAAGAAGCCAAAGAAATGATCAGGTATCATATCCCTAACCCTAATATAACCGATTTGGAACCTATATTTGCAAAATGTTTATCAACTTACGGGCCTTTCACTCAATGTCTTCACCCCTTTAGTAAAATAGATGTCCCTATCAGGAAAAATACTGAGCCAGCTAAACTTTGTAATAACGAGATGAAATGATGAACAGTACACCAAAATGAAGGTTGTTGCCTGTAGTTGTTTCTTTTAATATGCGGATGGATGTTTTTCTTAACTATAGAGACTATGCTAGCACGATCCGCCGGCCATTCTCTCTTCGCTACAATCCTTACACCCAGTCAGTGGAAATTCTGCAGTCAGCTGATCAGGTTAATAGTGTTATCGATGAGCTCAAAGATGATCTTAGCCTTCTTAGCAGCATCTTAGCAAAAGTGATTGTTTCTGCTGACACGGAAAGGAAAGGCGTGGAGTCGGACTAACTATCACCTCATGTGGTTACATCAATTCAATGTACTTTACAAAGATAGAACTGGAATTTTAAGTCAGGTTTTAGTTGACCAGCAGCAACCTCTTTCTTTAAATTAAAAAACTGGAAACTTTGTTTCATACAATTTTCTCTTCACATAATTTGTGAAGTGTAGATATTGTGGAATTATTTTATTATGTGCAAATATATATGTGATTCATATCAAATGTTATAAAAACTTGTAACTTTCATAAAGCTAAAATCGACATATTATTCAAGCACACAGGTTGGTTAAATTTCATCCATGCAAAATACTTATCCGTTAGAATAGCACAAATATAGAAATAATTAGAATACAGTGTAATTTGTATATAAATGTTCTAGTACTGATGTAAAAGCATGAAAATCAACATGCAAGTATATATATATCTCAAAATAATCACATTAGAAAGTTTCCAAGGTAACACTCTCTACACTGATATGCACAGTACATTCAGAAAATTATAACATCACTTTTTGTGCAGAGTGATTTTCAGATTAAACAGGAGGTTACAAACTGTTTTGTCCCAAATCCTCCAATTTCAATACGATTTTAGATATATCCTGGGGTTGGGGTTCAATACTTACACTGAAGATGATTTGGTATTTTTCAGAAACTGTACTGTTTCAATATATATATACCATAGCCTATAGGTGTGAGTACACATTTTTCTGAGTAAAGTTGATGAAAGTAGCAAACTCAATAAAACAATGGAAATCTTTGGATCGTAATTCTGCATACTGAAATGAACTAAAATTCTGCAAACTTTAAACTGTCTGTAGTCTGACTTGAACACTTGAATTTCTGATCCTGATATATTTTAACAATTTCAATCAAATGTTTGTTTACCTAAATTATAACCTATAAAAAGCAATCACTATAGTTGTTTAATTAATCAGAAATTACCAGTACTTTTCCAAATGGAATAATTGAAAGAATATCAAGTCAGTCTTTAATGGTACTGTTCCAGATATGTACATAACAATTCTGGTTAAATCTGTGTACATATGTAGTGCTTCAAGTACACTACATGTATCAGGCTAACCTGTCTAATGATTGTAGTTATACACAGAGGACCAGTCATGGCATTTAATGTAATCAAATAGTCCGTGCACTAGACCGCGCCACACCTCATCAACATTCCACTTCCCCTATCCCACTATCCTTATACTTTTTCTGTCACATACTTCAAAGGAAGACTACAGTGGAATGAGGTACAAAAAGCTTAAATATCTGATGTCAATGAAAATACAGAGTAAATTCTGAATATTCACTAAATTTGGTTTACGACTGAGAAATAACAGTTACACATAAAGAAGGCATTGATGTAATCCGGCTATATCAGTGTCTCCACAGACGGTAACTATACAAGTACATATACACAATTCTAACACTAACAATTTTAACAGAAAATTCCCATTAAAGTGACTTGATTTTTCAGTGTAATGAAATACTGAGTATCATAAGATCAAAATAAAAACTAAACCAAAGGGATTTCCCCAACTGACATCACATTTACAATGTGTCATCTCTTTGTCTTTTTTTGCCCCTGTGAGATTCAATACAAGAATACTATGTAGAGTTGTCAGTTAAATCCAACTTGCTTCTACACATATCACAACGTTGACATCATGTACAGAGGGATAACTCACCACTTGAATCAGTTCCTGTGAGGATCAGAGGTGGCATTAAACTTATCATTCTAATTCTTAATTAAGTTAAGCACTTAAATCAAACATGTGATTTGTGCATACTCAGGAAGGCCAACAGAAGCACCCCATATTTAACCACCTTGTGTTTAGAGAAATTATCTAAGGTTGATTATTTCATGTATTATGCTAACACCATCCCTAGGGGTCTTCCACCCTTCTTACTGTGATCTTTTGAATCAATTCATTCATAAACGTCCGCCTACTTATATCTAAGTATGGTTAATCATTTACAAAATATTTATTTACACAGAGAGATGGTATGGATCGACAATAAAATAGTTCATTCAGTTTCCAAAGCTATTTACCTAAGGAGACCTTATTTAACAGCTTTAAATTAGCATTACATTACTTGATTCTTTTTACAATAACAAATCACATTCTGTAAATAATTTATTCTGGCACCCTTTTGATTTTATGTTACTCAAAATTTAAATTAAACTTTGAAACCAAAACACCTAAACCTGATTCCAACAATGAAAAGTAAAAAATTCTCTGATTTGAAATTATTTTGTGGGAAATGTGTTAATGTTTTAAGGCCTTTTGTTATTGAAAATAAATATAAATATTTGGAAATTCTGTTTAACTTACCAAAATAGCAGAATTTTGATGCAAAGTCTTAGAGACAATTTCTAGTAAACTGGTCAATAGCAAATATACAAACATGACTACTAAATATGTTCTGTATTCCATAATAGCACATCTGTGTATACAAGGCTAAATTATTCTCTGGTATCTAGCATGATACGACAAAGGCAAAACTATATGTATTTAAAGCTGCTTGGATTTCTAAAACAGGGCTTTGGTTCTGTACCCTACAGCCAGAATGAATTATGTTGTTTTTTCTTAGTTTCAGATTTATTTTCTACTATTTTTGCATGTCACTTTTTAAAACCTGAGGTCTCACTTTTCTATGCAAAAATATAGACAAGCAGAATTTGAACAGACATCCAAATCTGAGAATCACAAGAAATATTAGGTACTTACCCTCTTCTTGAAGATTTAAAAAACTACAATTTTAAGCATCTAATGAGGTTTGACAGAGACCCCCCTCCCTGTCAAAACAATAATCTTCTTTAAAAGCATGCTTATAATTAAAATCTCATCATACAATGTTTTTATATAACATCCCCAAAATAACCTAGATTTGGTTCTTATACTACGCACTATTCTTTCCTGAAGCAATCGTCTTTTCCTTAATCAATACCTTATTATGTTGAGTTTCACTGGTCCACAGACTGCACACTAAAGCCATTGACAGGACACCAATTTATGATAAAAATTCAGGAGTTGCATAAATTATTCCACAAGGTTTTATCCAGCTCTACACAAACATATTCTCATAGACAGGGCTTGAGCCATTGGAATGTAGGGCTTGCAATATGTCCATGATGCATTCGTGAATGAAGACATACTGGTCCTGTGAAGAAATCATTGATACACAATAAGAACGTGGTTAGTAAATTATAAATAACTTAAACATGAATAAATATAGCCATAAAGAAACTGTGGGTATGCGCTTGAACTTAACAATATAGCATAAACCACAGCTTACTAAAAAAGCTCAACAACACTCTCAATAAATGGACTTTTATGGGACTTGCTTTTCAACTTATAAGAGTCACAGTTTGACTATTTTTCCCTACATTTCAACTTTAAACATATTGAGTGTGTCTCCAATGGAAAAGGTTTAAAGTAAATCCCTATTTATTAGCACTTAGTGCTTGGGCATACTACTTACAGAGATGGCATTACATGTCTACCACTGGATAACATGTTCAAACTTATTGGGCATTTACCTACATGTACACGGGGTTGTAGGCCAGTAAATAGGCCCTACATGCCTGCCCGCACCACATCATGATTTGCATGTTGTCATACTCTCTACTATCAGAACATTTTGTGGCATGTGGACTGGATGGTTTGCAAACTAAAGGAAGAAAACTACCAGCAAGACTGCCAGCTGGTATTTTCGAATTATGTTTGGGTCAAAATGGGCCTCTCGAAATTGCTCTGTTTAATGATGAAGTGTGGGCCTCAATGTCCGTAATAGCAATGGGCTTCACGACTAATTTTAGGAGTAATCCCTGGAGAAAAAAGTTCCAAAGTGAAAATTTCAAGGAAAAATGAAAGATGAGGAAGTGAGCTTTAATTTGATGTGAAAACGTCCTGCAAAACTTGTATTATATTGTATTATTTTTTTTAATGAAAGCATTTATGACTGTTTTCTTTGTTAGCTTATTTACTGATCTGCAAAACAAATAATCCTTATCAAAATGACCCTTGACCCTGAGAACCCTGACACACTGGGCCTTCTTACCTCAGTTTGAACCATGAAATTTCGATGCATTCTCATCTCACAGACAATTCCAAACACATCAACATCCCTATTCTCTTTGAGATGGAGTAGCAGATGATCAAGGCAGATGAATGTCCCTGTGCGTCCCACACCAGCACTGAAGGATAACAAAATAAATATATCTGGTTCAAATTAACAAGGCACAGGCTGTGTCCCAAACAGGTTTCTTGAACTACGGCTACTTCTGTTGTCAGCATGTCCCCGAGTATTGCCAAAAGACCTAGACCTAGCTCTAGCTAGCAACAGATTAAGATGCAGCCATGAGTGCCAAGCAGAATACCGGTATGTCAATATATCTTAATATATTATTCCCCCCCCCCCGTAGTGTGGTAGAAGTCTACTCAAGAATACTTACCCGAATCATCTACTAACGCATTATTTCCCTTACCGCAGCTAGCCATTCGCTAAACCTTGATCAACTACAATGCGCCCTCATCTGCCACAGCACAATGTATTATTACCACCATGATCATCCTTCCTTTTTTAAGGCACTCCAGCATCAGCGCCAAAGATGAGGGGAGGACGGCAGGGATGTGTGATTAAGGTAATCACTCTCTAGTAGACTTCCACCATTCAATAAACACTCCACGCAGGAAATGTTTAAATGCTGTGTTGTCTGAGACAGTGGAACCATTTTTAAAGCCATTGTGAATAGCCACAATGACTAAGTGGTACTTGTAATTACATATTGTCAACACTTGAAGGCCTGGATTATAAACATGCAGAAAGAAGTCAGGAATTGTAGTTATAGATGTATCAGTTGAAGAAAGAGATTGGTGTGTGTACCAATTAATGAAATGCTGTAGTCAACTACTGTGGATCTTGAGGGTTGACAACTAGTGTCCTTTTTGTGGCCAGGGCTGCAGCATTATAGGAAGGGCCAGTTGCCTCGCTGCAAAAGGGTCAGCAGGTCAAATGTAGATCGTCTGTCTGAGGGTGCAGAATCTTGGACCTCAGTTGGAAGAGAATATATGGTTGTTTTGGAAGAATAAGTGAATGGCGGACAAGGAAATCTGGTCTGCCGTGGAAATTAAGCTTGGGCGCGGCCAAAATGGAGCAATGAGAATAATTACCACTGATCTTACTCTGTCGTGGTAAGAACTCTTTAGATTAGAGATATTGGAGGGAAGGTATATGTGAACATGCAATTCCACTTGATGGTGAGGACATCTGTTGCCCAGGCTTGTGGATGGGGAAATCTGGTGCAGCACACTGGTAGGCAGCTGTTTTCTGCTGATACAAACAGGTCAATGTGAGGCATGTCCAGTGTAGCAAAGATTGAGTACGCTACCTCCTGGTGGAGCATCCACTCCATGGGGAGGATTGTTACTCGTGAAAAAACATCTGCCAGTTGTTCAAAGTGCCTCGAATGTGAATTGCTTGGAGATCCACTACATTGTCTATTGTCCAGAGTAGAAGGTTCCACGTCTGCAAACACAGGCTGGATGAACGGGTGCCACCTTGTTGGTTGATTATGATACTACTGTTGTGTTGTCTGACCTGATCAGTAGTGATTTGCCCCTGACTATAGATTGCAAGTGGAGGAGGGTATTGGAAACTGCTTGAAATTCCAGTGCATCAATGTGAAAGTTGTGGTACTGTGGACTCCATGAACCCAACACGTGATGAGGGGCAGTGATGCTCACCGACCCAACGTTGATGCATCAATGGTAACTGTAACCTGAGGAGGTGGTCACAGAAAGCGAAGGCCACTGTTGAAATTGAGATCATCTGCCAACAAAGATGTAGATGAAGCAGTGGGGTATGGCAACATGTACAAACAACATCGAGGAACTAGATCCACAAGGATGGCCATAAGTCTCAAAAGGCATAGCCAAGCGAGTCATTGCCGACTGATGATATATCGAAGGTTGGAAACACGTGCCAGGGCTGGGTATGCTGATCCATGAAGAAGATTGAGAACAGCCCCAAGGAAGAGAGGTCACTGAGATGGAGTGAGATTTGACTTCTCGTGGTTCACTAGAAATCTCAATTTAGTTGTACATGTAAGTGAGGTGAGTGGCATTCAATGTTTTGGCAAGAGACTGGCCAACAATGGGTCAACTGTTGAGACATTGAAAGGTCAGGACGTCTACGTAGCAAAGACGCACATTTAGTGAACACCCTTGGTGATGTTAACAAACCAAGGGGAGGAAGCAGAATTCGAAAAGGGTTGAGGGTGAATGGAAACATGAAAGTAAGCTCCCAAAGGTCTATCAACGTTGCCCATGAACAAGGTGAGATTGACTGCATGACAGTTTGAAGTGTCTCCATGCAGAACTGCTTAGGGCAAATAAATCAGTTGAGTGGTCATAGGTTGATGATTAGACAACATATCACAGAAGCGAAGCAAGAATCCCAGAAAATCAAGAGGTATGAAAAACACATCCGTAGACAATAACACTAGCAGGACTATCACGACGGCAATGAAACAATGTGCTATAGTAGATGAGGGCGCACTGAAGTTGATAAAATGTTCACAAATGGCTACCTGGTGCTAGGGAAATAATGCATTGTAGGTGATTCAGGTAAGTTGAACACAGTAGACAGTGACTAGACTGTGCATCACATGAAATTCTGATTGTCAATGACAAGAGAAAATAGCCCAATTAAGACTGTATTTATAAAGCATGCATATCTACACATGCTGGTCACCATATCATTCCCTCTGCTAATTGGTTTAGGACACACTTCAATGACTTTATAATCCAACTGGAATACTTAAAATACTTCAAAATGTTCTAAACTGACAACACAATGGACCAACCTGCAGTGAACAAGTGTAGGCTTTCCATTATCTGGTATCTGGTTCCGTACCGTGCGCACAAACTGCAAAATTCCATCACAGCTGTCAGGTACACCATGATCTGGCCAAGCAGTAAAGTTAAAATGACGAACTTGATGTCTCTTTTCACCCTGAAAGAAAGAAAAATGTCATATTAACTTGTACTACCTTGTATATAAAAAAAACAATCATGACATGAATCAAAGTTGGAAAAAAAGATACCTTTTCAATCATAAATTCACGAACAGTCCACAACTGCAGTTTCACCTCCGACAACAGTGTGACCAAAATGTTTCCAAAGTAAACTGGCTTTTCCAAACTTGGCCAGTATTTGTGGCATTTCACCTGACGAAGAACAAACCGTTATTGCATTAGAATTGTATCTGTAAAATCTGCAGTACCACTTCACATTAAAGCTCCATTGTATTATTTCTAAAGAGAAAACGTGTGTTCTAGAACAGTGTTAATAATGATGGCAGAAGTTCAGATTTCATGAATACAACTACTTACTAATAATGATGGCAGAAGTTCAGATTTCATGAATACAACTACTTACCCTGCCTTTTTCAACAAGCTGTGTCACCATGACAATTGTGGATATTTTTTGTTCCCATACTAAGCGCCACATGTCATCTTCAGTCCCAGGCAGAGGACCTTGACAAGCAATGAATTCTCTTGGTGAGTTGTAACCCTGATAAGAATACAGAAGAACAAGAAACAGCTCTGCCAATTTAAAAAAAATCTGAAATCACTTGTTGACATTTTTCATAACTTTCTGTATCAACTTTAGTCAGCAAATATTGACAGTTGAATACTGAAAAAATAAATGCATTGAGGTGCAAGATAACCAAAACTTCACTACTTTGTCCACTACTTAACAAAGCTAAAATCTGTCTTAAAAGCATTTGGGAGTTGCATTTAATAGATTTGTTCAGGAGCTCTTTTGATTAACTTCCACATTTCAGAATGAATGTCATCATTTCATCCCTTGACGACGGGAATTTTTTCTGAAAGCTGGCTCCGAGAATTCCAGCCTTGCTTGGCCACGAATGCTACCTGCCAAACCGCAACTTCTCGGTTTGTGGCCCTGCGTGCTCTGCACGCTTTGAATTACTCAGTAAAAAGGCTGATTGCTCGGTGGCATGAGGCTCTACTCACGCTTCCACATTACTGTTGCCTCTTTTCAAGGTGGAGACTATTGTGGAGCTGGTGATTATGAAGCGAATTCGGTCTTTTCATTTCTTGGCAACACACAAAGGCCAATCACCATATATACAAGAGCAAGGGTCTGCCTTCTTTCACCGTATTCGCTCAAGCATGGGCCGAGAATAATAGCTGAAAAGCGGGCTAAGAATCTCAATTTTTACGGCGGCTCTTACCATCTCCTGGCGCAAAGGGGTTAATAAAACCTTCCAAACAAATGTTTAAAATTTTAAAAAGCAATTGCTGTAGTTCTCTAAGAAGCAGGAGCAGAGAAATATTAATGACAAAGTTTAGTTAGAGGCATGATGTTTGTATTGATGTAATTTAAAGATCAAACTTACAGGCATGAAGTTGGCATTGATGTAGTCAGATCCTTCTTCATCATCCACTTGTTTCAGTTTAACTCTGGTATGGTCATCTGCAAGAGGTTGCAGGCACGGTAGAGGCCAAAACAAAAAATGTCATCAAGAACAAACATTTTAGAGAGAATAATTTGTCAAAGTTGAATTGACCAAAAACTTGTAAGAGACAATTGACCCAACTTACAGGGGAGGATGTTTGTGAACCGATTCTTACTGCGATTGACATCGAAGACAGCAGCTTCAGCAGCCTGATTTCGACCAATAGGACGAAGTTCCTAACCAAAGACAAAGGGTAAAGGTCAATTCAGTATTCCTTTTGTGCATGACCAAGCTTGCATCTTAGGCTTAATCACAAATCCTGAACTTGAACTGAACTGTAAGGTAAAAAAACATGAACTGAACGTGTACTCCTTGCCCATTTGCACTGTATACAAGCTTCAAATATAGATCTAAATTTATTCCCAATATGGCTACCAGAGTTTATATAATTTATGATAAAAACTATACATAAAATAGTCCTTAAATTACCCCCTACTTTTTGGTGTTTAACTGATTTTTTATTTTTCATGGAAGAGGATAACAGTAATTCTTTCTTTTCAGCCTTCAGTCACAATAATAAAATACAGGCAAACAACACTGATGAACAAATCAATACTCTTTACACCCAAAACAAACCATACAATGACCGTGTTTGCACTTTACTTCTACAGGGTCTGTTTTCTTGTCATAAAATTTCAATATAAAATTAACAATCTGATAGATAAAAAGAAATCCCCAGAGAAAGAATCTAATTAGACTTCTTTCAGCAGCCCAGAAACCTAGAATCAAAAAAATATAAGAACAAATTAACAAATATCACAGTAACATACCTCATATTCCTCTGAGAAGAGATAATCTGAGTCAGCTTTCATGGATCTGAAATATTCAGGGAATTCCTCCACAGGTATCGGACGTTTGTTGCCTTTCCGCCCAACAGGAATCACATCACGCTCAAAGCCTTCATTCCAATAATCTGTGCTTGACCTTCTTCTCCTGTCATTAATGTCCCAAGCATTACAATTTTTTTCACAGAACTTGTTGAGTTATACATTTTTGCCATTATAATATGAGTAGCTAACAGTGTTATATCATGATACGGCATTCTCATGGTAGTTACATAACGCTGATTAGCTTTGCCAGAAATCATGCATTGTTTGTCATACTTACGAAAAACGTTGCCTACGCTTGATGGCAAGCATCAGAAGAACTATACAGATGATGAACAAAATGGCAAAGGAAACACCCAGGCCTAAACCGACCTCCAAAGATATGTCATTAACTGTAAGGAGACAATAACAATGTTTTATGACAAATTCATGCAGAAAACATCTATAATATGACAACTGGCTTCATCAACACTCTGCTCTGGAACTTACAGAATCAGTTTTAGACAGATCACAATCAAATATGATACCAATTCAATGAATGAATCTTGTTGATTCACTTTCAATATAATTTAAATGTCAATGAATACCATAAAAAACCACAGTTACAACTTTATTCTGCTTTTACCCTTAGATATCACTAATTAAGCAACTAAATGTACTAATAAAGTTCCTTACAAACAACAAACTACATGTAGATGTTTTTCTTTAATTCCATGACTCACTTTTACATTTTATATCTTTGTGAAATGTGTTTCTTGTGAAATTTTATATTTCTTAATCTTTTTTGCATATGGTTTTTATGCTATGTATTACTACTTCTATGTATTACCAAATGTGTAACTTGTACAAGTGCAAATCGGCCTTTTAGTTGCAAGACTGTACAAAATGTCAGATATATGAAACGTTAAATAAACCAAATCAAATTTGTATTAATTACAAATGAGTATTAATATTTCCTTACATGTTTTGACAGGTTCTGAGAAAGCAGTGTCTGCATAGCCAGCTTCATTCCAAACTCGGAACAGATATCTGCAAGACAAATGAATAAGGACAAACTGAAGATTTAGCAATTCCCCTGTACCTGTATGATTGTCTATACATTCAGTGATGGGAGATTACAGTTAATATAATATTAAATAACATGAATACGTCCTTACACATAGCTTGTATCATCTCTTAGTGGTCCATTACAATAACCACTTGTCGACTGACATTCCTCATCTCCCAATGTAACTTTTTCTTCTCGAGTAGTTGCTCTTCGTTTCCTTTGTCCAGACAGATCTGAGCATGTTGTAATTACAAAAAAAAACGCATTACACATTAAACTCACTTGAAAAACCTTAAGTTTTGAATCTAATTATAAAAATTCTGCTTTAAGTTGCTGCCTGTTATCTTTGCAACTAAATATTCACTAAAGCAAATCTTCAACCAAAAAAATGAATCTTTAGAATCTTCTGCAATATATCTGCTTGATTAGAGTGGCACAGCATTTGACTAGAGTGGCACAGCATTTGACTAGAGTGGCACAGCATTTGACTAGAGTGGCACAGCATTTGACTAGAGTGGCACAGCATTTGACTAGAGTGGCAAAGCATTTGACTAGAGTGGCACAGCATTTGACTAGAGTGGCACAGCATTTGACTAGAGTGGCACAGCATTTGACTAGAGTGGCACAGCATTTGACAGACCCCCTATTTTAGCTGACAAATTCTGCCATATCTACAGACTTAGCACCTTTTTAATTACATGTATAAAATCAGGGGTGTACCTGGAGGAAACGGATATGGTCTTGCTGAGAATGCCTGATATGGTGGAATAGGGTCCTTATCCTTTACATCTGACCAAGTCTGGGTCGTGGCTGGAACAGTGTTTTCACCAGTTCCTAATTTTTTACAAAAAGAATGAAAAACTTGTACAAGAAATTAACATGAATTTGTAACGCGTAGCTCAAGATATGCTGTAAATCCCAACAAGCAACATTTGAGCTCCAATGACATAAAGGCTAAACTTTTCTAATTGCTCTTCAACCAAGTAAGTTGGTCATGACTACTACTAGACTACATATCATAGGGTTTCAAGTCTGCATAAATTTTACATGCACATGAGTATGTGCTGAATTGTTATAACATTTAAAACATAAGTATGAAAAGCATAATTAAAATATTGAATAAAAAATATCAATGCCAAATTTCCAAAAACAAATCACAAAAACTGGTTAAGGAAGAATATGATAGCAAATTAAACAAGAAAGACAAAAAGTATCAGGTTTACCATCTTGAGCAATTATAACTGTGTAATTGATTAGCTGTCCGTTACTGTGACTGAAGTAATTATCCAAGAAACGTGCAACTATTGTGGTAGTGGTTGGCTTTGTTGATTCATTCTGGTCAACAAATGGCTCTGGCTTGGCACTTGAATCTGGGGCTAAGTATAAAAAAAATAAATTTTCTTGAATTCTCTCTAATGGGTCAAGACATTACACTTCTCACGCCTACTGTAGCCTTTTGTCAAGGTGATTGTGATAACTCTAACAAAATCACAACCTGTCACTGCAAAGGCCTCCACCAACTCCAAGGCCTGATGCTGAATAATTCAGTGGTTTGAACAATTCATATGTTATCATTTTATTTGACCAACCACTCATCACAGCAGGCTGTCATCTGCATCAATGCCAATCATTGAAACAGATGAATAAGTTTAATCTGAGAAAATGCCAATCACTGTGATAACATTTCAGTCATTGACATATTCTGAACTTGAGATGCCAACACATGCATATTTTATGAATCGCAGCACCCTATTGGTGGAAGACGTATTCAAGGTGTGCATACCAGCCACATGCCAACATGGCAGCACCTCATTGGTGGAAGAAGCATTCAAGGTGTGCATACCAGCTACATGCCAACATGGCACCACCTCATTGGTGGAAGAAGTATTCAAGGTGTGCATACCAGCCACATGCCAACATGGCAGCACCTCATGGTGGAAGAATTATTCAAGGAGTGCATACCAGCTACCTGCAAACATGGCAGCACCTCATTGGTGGAAGAAGTATTCAAGGTGTGCATACCAGCTACATGCCAACATGGCAGTATCCCATTGGTGGAAGAAGTATTCAAGGTGTGCATACCAGCCACATACCAACATGGCAGCACCTCATGGTGGAAGAAGTGTTCAAGGTGTGGATACCAGCTACATGCAAACATGGCAGCACCTCATTGGTGGAAGAAGTATTCAAGGTGTGCA